CCCCCCCCCCCCCCCAACTAAAACCCTATCTATCACATATCCTTTCTGCCCTGCCTGGATGGAGAGGCCTTCCATAGGGGGTCATCAGAGTCTATCGTATCCTTTTGGATAGGGCCTAGGCCTACCCCCGTGTGTCTTGGCTCAGGGAGTATTCCTATATATGGAATGGGTTCCCAAAGTCCACACCTATGTTAGGGATAAGTACTGAACTTCTACAGGAGGTCCTGTAGATTTCTGAGCAACTAAAACCCTACCTATCACATATCCTTTCTGCTCCCCCTGGATGGTGAGGTCTTCCATAGGGTGTCATCAGAGTCTATCGTATCCTTTTGGATAGGGTCTAGGCCCACCCCCCTGTGTCTTGGCTCAGGGAGTATTATGGGGAGCAAGAGTTGTTCCCCAATGTTTAGGTCAGCTGTTTCTGTGGGTTTCACCAGCCTGGTCTGGACCCCTTTGATCTTCACTCATCCTTTGAGTGAAGGACAGTATATCTTTTTGCAGTGCCTTTTTCTCTCCATCTCCAGGGGCACACAAATAGTTTGACAGCCTTGTTGTAAGCAAATGGCTTGCGCTATCCTCTTCAGTTGTATGTGGTGATGCTGGGTTTACAGCTATTCTGGGGTTCTTAGTTTCCAGGAAACTCGGGGTTACTAGTATTGGTTTATGATTGAACTTTCACATATGGTTCCTAGTTCTGAAATACGGTTGGAGATATCAAGTCTATGTGACAAGGGGTGGTCCATTCTGCATGGCCCCAAAGGGAGAAAATTTGCCCCTAAAAGTGGTACTGGCTATGAGAAGCATCTTGGACTGCTTACTGGAGATGTGTGGGGGGATCATTCTTGTGTCAGGCACCGTATAGTTGCAATTGTATATTGATTTCAAGTAAGACTTACAATAACCCTGACAGAAAGTGACTCGAATCTCACTGTACACCCAGGGAAGATTAAACAGGATTTATTAACTACCTCTAGTGTCCTATGGCCGGTAACTAAACCTGGACTCAAGGATACAAAGAAATGAGCATTTTGTTTCCAGGCGGGGCAGGATAACTACTTCATAAAGTGATAATCCACACCTTTACAACCTACCAGGAAGTGTCAAATTGTTGTTTCAAAATAAAAATGTATGGATCTCAGTTTTGGTTGAATACTCTTTAAGAAAACCAAATACAAGTTAAAAATCACCGGAGAGGCACAACTTTGTTCTTTGAGAGGGGCTACTTACAGGTGTAGTGGCAGGGGACTTTTCGCTGCTTGGAGAATCCGCTACACAGAATAAAGACAGAGAAGAAGACATCAGTGTGAGTGGCTGCAGGCTGCGCTGGTCTTCTGATCCTCTCAGTTGAGTGTGGTTCCTATGTTAACTTTGGCAGCATTAGAAAATCACAATAAAGCAGAGCCTTGCTGAAGGTTGTGCCCGTCACCAAGAGGAATGAGGAGTGAAACACATCAAGCAGCACCAGGGACTAGACTCTAGGAAGCGACGACTATAGCTATTAGTGCCGGCTCTTAGTAGCCCTTGCATTCCGGCAAAGGGAGCAGGTCCCCCACTGTCTGACATGGAGAAATACCACACAGAGAGGCCGATGTCATCCAGGAAGAACAGAGAGTGACAACAGTTAACAAGAGAACACCACATTTGTGGCAAATGCTTCTCATCTTGATTCCAAAGGAGGAAGGGGATGACAAAGAGCCAGGTGGATGGTGTTATTTCTCTGGCATCTCAAAAGTCAACATGAAGTTCTGTGAAATTCCTCCCAATTTTAGTACAACTGTGCTGATTGATATCAAAGAACAAGCTCATTGCTAACTGTGTGTCACAAACAAGCATCTTTTTTTTTCTTTTAAATATCTTAAATCAGAAATGAAGACAAATGACAGACACCATTGGTTGCCCCAACATGGATTGTTACATAAAAGAAATGCAGCTACCCAGTATGTTGTTTACCTGACTGGGAGAAAAACTGGGACCGTCGCCAAGAGTTCTGAACTCTCAGCGGAACACTGGCACTGCTAGGCACCTCTAGATCAGATGGCAAAATAGAATAAACAGAAATCCATGAAACCAGGTGAGAACTGAGAACATATCCCCATATGCTGAAGAAGGGTCAGCTGTAGTCAAGCCAGGAAATTAAGGACTCTCGAGCTAACGTAACGCAGCTCACCAGAATATGTGTAAAACTTGACAATGGGCAGTAGAACTGGACATTCTGTGTTCCTGTTGTGTAGGTGCTGAGTGAAAGTTCTTAGGCCCATACTAAGTGGGGACATTGTTTAAGGGTTAAAGGCATCATGATACAGCAGTATGCTGTGCAGAAGCAACTCTAGGAAAGTATAAAGGGCAATGTTGATGCGTGGTGAGATCATGAATGATAACCACATCCCACCTGATGAAGGGGCGATGATGTGTGGCTGGTTTCCTGTCACACATACAGACAGGTACATGTTTGTGACAGCCTGCAGTGCTCCGAGCACACATGACTCCTGGCAAGTGTTGGCAGCTTATGCACTGGGCTCTGCTGCTTACGTTTTCAGAGACTTGAAAGTTAGAGCCCGTGTTTTATAGAAACATGACTTTGGCATAACTTTGCTGTTTCCAGAGAGCTGGATAAAAGGAATCTGTCAGCTTTAGCTGCATTTTATGAATGTTTCCAGAGTGCTGAAAGGCTGTATTGATGCACATGTGTGTGCTCGAGGAATCTTATTTGGGTTGACAGGCAGATCTACAGTGGCCTGTGTGAGCAATCTATAAAAAGGTGACTTTAAAGAAATTGGGGAGACACCAATTTCTGGGGGAGAGAGAGAATTTATGAGGTGTTGTTCCAGGGCTTCTGGTCCTTGTGGACTGGATGCTGGAATTCATGTTAGCCGCTTAAGTGTGCACCAAATTCTTATATGTAGGTTATAACCCATGACTTCCCCACCACATTCAATCAAAGACAATCATGTCTTCAAAGGTTCCATTTATGAGAGGCCTCTGGCTTCCACAAAGACCGGCACTTTGCTGAGTCTAAAGAAGCACCACCAGTCAGTTTCATATCCACCAGCAATGTCTTTAAGGCACCGCTTAAATAAATACTTCAAGTTAGTGGTTTCCAGGTTGGGCTCCCTGGGCTGCCACATCCCTGCACATGTGGTCTCTCTGGAAGTTCAGACAGCTCCTTTGGACAGAGCCACAGAAGCAGACCCTGAGGGTTTGGCCTGCGCTCAGGCACACTCTTGTGTTTGAGAACTGTTGCTTCAAGCTGTGTCGCTGTCCTGTCCATACTTTCTTTTTTTTTTCTTACTTTTTTTGGAAAGCACCCTACAAGAGTTATTATTTCTGCCTAGCACTTGGCTCTATACTTCCACCCTTATTGCTATTTTTCTGTAACCACTAAATCCAATTCTCTTAAAAAACTGGTCTATGGCTATTTCTACTCGACAGGTGCTAGTCAGTCCTTAGGGAAAACAAAAAGGGGAACTTTGCAGCTAAGAACTCGATGAGCGAGGATTTAAACCCTGGTGTTCCATCTCCAGCGCTAACAATGACAATCACAGAATTCATGAACCACACATCATAGAGGAATAAGGACCTGCCAAATCCAGTTCTCCCTTGAGGATTACCTTTAAAGTACTCCAGTGCTATGTATTTTTATTTTTTAAATTATTCTACTTAGCTAAAGCATGAAGTAAAGTTTCTTAATTCAATAGCAATTTCTCAAAAACCAGAATGCCTTGTGTTCAATGGGGATGAAAAATATAAATATATGAGGAAAATCGATAAGGCTTACATATTTATATATGCAATATATATGATATATGTATTAAATATGTATATATTTCTTATTTACATAGTTATAAAGTGCTAGAAATGGAACATAATTACAGTGTCTAAATATGGCCAACTGGTTGACCCAGTTTATGAGATTTTATTTTTATTAATTATTTTCAAGACCGTAAGACTGAAAAATTTGGGTCAACTGCTTTGGAGGTAGCACTGAATTTGCCTCTGCCTTAAGAGACTAATGCTCATTTGTATTCGTACCACACAGTTTCCTACCAAATGCTCCTTGTTTTGTATATGCCTCCCAAAATGACCAACCAATTCAGATGGTGTTAATGGTGACCCCAAATAGCTTCTCACTCTTTAAAAGAGAAATAATAATAAAAAACCAAGAATAATGAACTCACACCATCCTCTCTGGCAGGTCAGAGCTACAAAATACACTGGAGAACAATGTCAACAAAGACGCACATGGAGCCTTATGATCCCAAATCCCACACTAGTTGTTTCCAATCTAGGGGTTTGCATTGGTCCAGCCTTAGTCTGTCCACTTGGAGGGATAATCCCCAAGAATTATTCTTGGAATGTCATCTTCCCCAGCTCACATTCCTAAAGTCCTTCATGGTGGTGTGGGCACTTGGGTTTCCCATGGGGATATAGGGCATAAAGTTGGGTTCTTAAAGAATAAAAGGGTGAGTTCATAACTCATACATGGCCCACAAAGTGGAAGCCAGCACAATTTTAAGACTTCCACAGATCCTCAATTTCCATATTTCTCTACACTACCCCTCCCTACATATCAAACATTAAAATACAGCAAATGTACAAAACACATTAAAATGCATCCCAAAGTATGTTATGAGTTAAACTTATTAATATATATCCTTAGTGTGTATGTGTGATTACATGCATACTGAAGATGTATCTTTACTGTCCATTTTCAAAAATATTAAGTGTTCTTATTATGAAGAATTATATTTGTTTGTTTAATTTTTCAAGACAGGTTTCTTTGTGTTTGCCTTGGCTGTGCTGGAACTTGTTCTGTAGACCAGGCTGGCCTGCCTCTGCCTCCTGAGTGTTAGGATTAGAGGCTGGGTTTACAGGTGTGCACCAGCACCTCCTGGCCATGAAGAATTTTTTGAAAGAGTAAAGTTTTGGCTGAGTAACTACACTAATCATAATCTACACCCAAGACTTATGATAGAACAAAAAATTCCCACTTTCCCCAAAGTTAATATTAGATAAATGGCATTTATAAAGACTGGAATTTATGTAACATTAAAAGATAAACATCTTAAAAACAAATTGAGTTTGTATTTATAATTATCTTGTTATGTTTTAGAGAAAAGACAAAACAAGACTGAAGGTCTCAATACCTATTCAGGCCTTGTACCCATAATGCCTAGCTGACAAGGCAGTCTTAGTGGCTGGGGTTCCTGCTGTCAAACAGAAAATGCATCACAGCTTTCCAATCTGAAATTCTCATTTCACACACTCTGGTGAGGAATATGGTTACAGGAACATGACGTGGAGGATGCAACGGCTTTTCATGTGAAGGGTAGTCCCCACAGGTGGGCCCAGCAGACCATGAAGATCTAAGAGAACACTTTCCCCTCCCTGCTCCTCACCTTTCGAATTGAGGTTTGGCAAATGCAGTTGGTTGATTTCAGGCATTTTGTCGAGAAATGGAAACGTCAAGGTTGCTTCTGGTTCTGGGGATTTTGGCTTTACCACCTGGACCACATTGACAGACATAAACATTAGAAAGACCTCAGATCCATCTTACACTATGACTATGTAAACAAGCCAGTAAGCTTAAACATTTAACTTTACAATGCAATTTTTCCCTTCCCTGATGACTTCACACTTTTCTGAATCACTGGAGTGGTTAGCTTTTCTTAGAAATTAAATAAGGACAAAAAATGTGATCCCCTTCTTCAACCTCAGAAGACATTTGGAGCTTTCCCCCTCCCCAACTTACTACTACTACTACTACTACTAATTCTTTCTTCTTCTTCTTCTTCCCCCCCTCCTTTTTTTTTTTTTGACAGGGTCTTACTATGTAACCCTGGCTGTAACTTGCTCTGTAAAGCAGGCTAGCCTTGAACTATCTATGTGGCTCTGCCTCCTGAGTACTGGGATAAAAGGCATGCATCACCACTCTAGGCTTCAATACTAGCTAATACACCCTGCTAAGCTTGTCAAAAAATGAAATATTCCACAGAAGACGATGAAAACCATCTTTGCTGTAAGGTTAAGCATTATAGTAATCCACTTTTAATAGACATTATTCTGAAGACAGTATTTTACCCTCCTATGAACTTATGCAACATACATATACTTTGCCAGTTCACAAAGATGCATTGCCCAAAAGAGCTAGTATCGAACAGTGCCAGCACAGGGGTGTCCTTAGAGTTTTGAGGCACATTAGATGACCTGATTTTTTTCATTTCATTTTATTGTTTCTTCTTACTCTAAAGACCCTTAGTAGAAGCACCCTCTTGCTGTCTTATTGCTTCCAATCAATTTAGTGCTAGATACAGACTGCCAAACATTTCAACAGGTCCTTTCTGCCTCTCACAGGACTTAATTCTGATTTCAGCTCTAGCTGGTAGCTGCTATGCACGGTTAGTGTGACAGCCAATGACCTCAAACTATGCAACATTTATTTCTTCTCTGTTGCATTTTATTTTTCTTTCTTTAGAATATATTCAATCTTAAGAGAATTTTGAAGAAAATATAATCGGTCATGTTGGTCAGCACTGCTGTGGTCAACCAGATAGCTGTATAGACTTCAGCATTCACTATATTGAAAATACTTAAGGTCTGGTATTACCAAAGTTTACAACACGCTAGTCTTTTACCTTTCTAGATATCTATTTTTACTTATAACTCTGTGTTTGTGTGTGTGTGTGTGTGTGTGTGTGTGTGTGTGTGTGTGAGAGAGAGAGAGAGAGAGAGAGAGGGGGGGGGAGGAAGAGAGAGAGCGGGTATGTTCATGTGAGTGTAATAGGTATGCACAACGGCCGCAAGTATTGGGTCTCATTAGAGATGGAGTTATGGTTGGCTATGACTCACCTGATGTGGGTGCTGGGAACTGAGCTCAATGCTCTTAACCACTGAGCCTTACAACCCTCCAGTGTTAAGCTCACAGACACTACTTCCTGAGTGGTGTAGACTGACAAGGTTGCTAACCAACCATCAGAGCTTCTAAACCTGCAGTCAACAGCACAAAATTTTAGAGATGTGGACATAGCATTTGATACCAAGGATAGCCTGGGAATCCTGGATATTTTATGCTTTAAAAATATGATTTTGAGACTTGTGTTTACTAAGTAAACAAAGGTTCATGACAGAAAAGCAAAGAAAACAGATAAATACCCCCAAAACCCCTGAAAGTTTTTTTTTCATAGTGGTTGGACATAAAATTGGTGGCCCAAAGATGGCTCAACACAGGTGAGCATTGTCAAGGAACACAGTAAGTTATGGCAGTCATTTTGTTTGGTTAGCCCCAAGTTCCAGGAATGTTACAAAGTTTTCCTTTTAGGTTAGCATGATGTGAAGTATTGAATTTGCAATAATAAGTAAATAATGATTACAAGCACATAGTAGATAAGGTACAATTGGCAAAGATGAAATCCCTGACTGGCCCACCCTACTGTGAGACCTGTGATTCAGTTATCCTCTTAGGACCTCCAGACAGCTCAGTAATTCTATCTGTATAAAAATGGGGAATAGCTGAGGTCTGAAATACAATACATCAAACTATAGGCATTTTAGAGGCTCATTCAAGGACACTCCACTCAGCTCTGTGAGGCTAGGTGCTGTGTTCTTTTCTCTGGCAAATATAGAGTGTCTAATATGGTATCAAACTATAGGCATTTTAGAGGCTCATTCAAGGACACTCCACTCAGCTCTTGAGGCTAGGTGCTGTGTTCTTTTCTCTGGCAAATATAGTGTGTCTAATATGGTACTTGGTACATAGTAGGTGCACAGTTAATGTGCCTGATTATGAAATGGAACTGAGTGGTAAATTTTTCACTTGAAGGTCAAGTCTAGGTATAGGTTGATTTTTAATGGTGGAGTACTGCCTTAAATAATTTGACTATCTTACAAGGCATGACCTTTGGTGGTCACAAGGATTCCCTAGGAGCTTTTACAGAAACAGAGCCATATGTCCAGAGAATGTCTATTTGGTCTGGAATGCACTCCATAGTTGTAAAATTCTTTACATACCAACAACTGAGACAAATGGTGAAGAGATTTTAGATCTGATATTTAAAAAGCCCAACTAATGTAAGTAAGACTCTAAATATGAACTACATTTAGTAAGAGCAAGACTTTAAAGCCCACGGTATCCTGAGTTTCTTGGTATTCAAATCCAGGGGTATCAGACACACCATTGCTAAGAAGTAGGTACATAGTGGGAAGAGAATATTTAGTAAGATGTCACGTTAAGAAACAAGTCAGTGGGCTGGAAGAGATGGTTCAGAGGTTAAGAGCACTGGCTGCTCTTCCAGAGGTCCTGAGTTTCATTCCCAGCAACCACATGGTGGCTCACAACCATCTATAATTTAGTGCCCTCTTCTGGCCTGCAGGCATACATGCCTCTGAAAGTGTAAACAAGCCTCCAATTAAATGCTTTCATTTATAAATTGCCTTGGTCATGGTGTCTCCTTACAACTTGTATGTGTGGTGTGTGTGTGTGTATGTTTATGTGTGTGTGTGTGAGTGTGTGTAAGTGTATGAGTGAGTGTGTGATATTTAACAAAGAACATGCAGTGTAGTTTTTAGAAAGAAATATAGATTAAAGACAGGGAAAAAGATCAGGTGAGACTATCAGCCCTCATGACTGCTAGTCGCCCCGGAAACCATGGCAACCTGTAGATTTAACTCTTTGCTCCACTGTGTCCTCACCTTCTGTGACAGCACTAACTCTACCTTCCCACTCATCTCATTTTCAGGCTTCTTCTGGTCTCCTTCTTCTGGCACCTCATTCTTCAGCGGGGGGCTTGAGGAAAACTCCACCAAGGCCACGGTTGGGCTGCATCGAGTCACAGTTGTTGTAAAATGCTGTGGCTCTGGAGGGACATCACAGGTGGAAACAGAAGAAAAAGGAAACCATACAAAGGATCACTTTCCTTCAAAGTCACAATGAAGCTTTCATCAGAGTCCTCTCTCCTAATGACAAGCTGGGCTACTACATGATGATACCCAGCAAAGGGCCTCGGATGGCAGGATCCCCATCAAACTGATCTACTATCAAAGACTGCTCTTAACAGTCATGGGTCGCATCCGAGTACCACGTGACACAAAACATTTCATGACAGTGGTGTGCAAAACAGAAAATCCACAGACCCATCTGTTCTTTGACTGGGTGACAGTCTAACTTTCCCTTGTTGTGTGTGCTGTTGTCCTCACCCAGAGTCTAGAGGCTGAAGCACACGTCTTCCTCTATAGCACCCACCAGTAAGCAGTGTTCCTCCATGGCCTCTGCTTTGGTTTCTTCCACCATGGCCCTGACTTAAGCTCCTGGCCCAGCCCCCTTTGATGGGTGGACCGTCATCTGGGAGTTCTAAGATGAAGTAAACACTTTCCTCCCCAAGTTGATGTTTATCGTAGTGACTACAAAGCAACTAGGACAGCTCAGTGTTTGAATTATTTCTATATGAGAATTAAGTATTTTTAATGAGCATGAAGACATACTTTTAGGAAGTAAAATATCATAGTACAAAACAAAACAAAAACAACAAAAACCACAAAGCCTGAGTTCCTACTTTTATAGCAATATTAAAGCCATAGTGAGAATTTCTCGTCAGAGCCTCTAGGTGGCAGCACAATCATAGAGGCTGACACAGCCCTTCAGTTTAGTAGGAAAAATTGGCATCATTCTAACACAAGTTACCAAGCTTTACCCGGAAGCTAGCATTCTATGAAACAAACCTGCTGAGGCCAGCTCCGTGTCCTGTGTCCCCGACTTCCCATCACTGTTGTCATCCTCTTGGCCATTTGACTCAGTTTTATTAGAGGCTGCCTGAAAAAGATTTTTTTTTCTTCCTTGAATAAACCAAACCCTTGAAAGTTCTGAAAAAGCAAAGGCTATTTCCTGAATAATAATTTTCAGGCCAAGATGGTGGGCTGCCCACACAAACTGTCCCCGTTTCCAAACAGCTCTACGCTGGGTGTCTGCTTTCTTGGAAGGAGGTGTTTGTGAGTGTGAACAAGTGGGCACCCTTGTGCTCACTTTCCCCAGCCTTCCTCTTACACACACATCCTCACTTTTTCCTTGTCTTACCACCAAATTTCATAAATCAAGGTCACTATCCACTTGCTCCCAAATGCCTTTCCAGTTGGTTGCAGGTCCTATCACTAGCAGAGGGGATTTTGTTTTGATTTTTTAAAGGATAAACCTTGAAGTTGGCTATCCTGGGCTCTTAACACTGTAGGTTTTAGCCTTGAAGCTCTTGGGAGTTTTTATAGCCATTTCTTCCCTCTCATTCCAACAGCTAGGAACTAAGGTTAGTTTTTCTTCCTTTAGTCTTTGACTAATGGGTCTCCTTGACATGGATACCAATCACTTGCCACACCACAGCCAAGTACCTCTCTTATAGCCATGCCTCCCTGTTGTCAGTTGTATGCTTTTTACAACAACTGCATAGCAACCTAAATGTCTACCAGATGGGGAATAGTTGAATTACTTAAGACCATAAAGGGAACTATTACACAGTCACTGAATATAGTATGTTGAGCAGGCTGGGGACATTGCTCAGTGGGCAAAGGCTTGCCTAGTGTTCATGAGGCCGTGGGTATGTTGATCCCAAGCGCTGAAGAAGACAACAAACAAACAAACACACACACAAATGTGCTATACAATAGTAATGTGTAAAAATGATTGTTATCCAATGTGGTTAAAATATTTGAAGCTCATGTATAGAGAGAACATTATGTCTACATATATGATTGTATATATAATGTACCTGTTAGTACATGTATTAAAATACAGAATGTACATACATTTATACACTCAAATATACATACTTTTGCCATATCACCTGTGTGTGTGTGTGTGTGTGTGTGTGTGTGTGTGTGTGTGTGTGTGTTAAAAGCGTAAGAGGACTAAACTGTAGAACAGCAGAAGCAGGGAGGAGTGGCAGCAGATAGCAATAGGGAGAGGGTAAAAGTGTCATAATGAAGCCATTATTTTATGCTAACTAAAACAATAAAAACAGGAACACAGAACTCCAAGGAAATAGAAAATGTTAACAGTGCTTATTTTTAAATGTGTTTACATTTGGGGATGACTTTTCCATTTCTTTATATATACTTTCACATATTATAAATGCTCAACCATCAGAAGACAATCCATGTAGTTTTACGTTATCTTTATGGGGTAGGTAAGGGAGCCGGCCCTAGAGTTAAGTCCAACATTTTCTCCTTTTATTTTAGTTGCTTGATAAAAATAAGTGGAAGGTTAAACTAAATGTATCTGGAAGAATGTCTGTGCCAAAGAGTGTCAGTGACTGTTTTATTTTATTTTTTATGTAAAGGACTAAAGATGAATTTTCAGTGTGTATAAAACATTTTGCAAACTTTAAAACATTTTGAGACAGAAGTAATATTGATTTTCAGAAAAGGCATTATTAAATTCTTCATAATATATATCCAAGGAGAACCAACTCCCTCAAGTTGTCCTCTGATAGCCAGAGGCACACTATGGCATACTTGTGCCTTCATACAAACATATATGCACACATATGTAGATACATAGATACACACAAAATATAAAGAAATGTAAATCTTTTTAAAATTAAAAACAGGAATTTTAAAGCAAACCATTTTAAGCTTCTAAAAGACTAACAATAGTATCTAGTGGGAAAATGTGATTTTTTTGGAGGGTAGATTACTTTGAAATATTCAATTAGATTGGCTTTTTTCTAGTGATGGATAATCATATATCAAGTTGGAAAGAACATAATATCAAGTTAAAAATGTACTATTTTTCTTTCCCAGTACTGAGCACTCAATAGAGACTGCTATAAGCAAGTCAAACACTCTGTCACTGAGCTGTCACACCCTGTTCCCAGTTCTTTCTTATGATTTAAGTCAGGGTCTTTGAATTATGCCCAGGCCATCCTTGAACTCACTCTGCAATCCCCTTGGCTCAACCTCTTAAACAGTGGAGACTTTAAGCTTATGCCATGAGGTTTAAAAACCTGAGGCAGGCCAGTTGTGATAGCGTATGCTTATAATCTCAGCAACTGCAGAGACTGAGGCAAGTTCAAGCCCAGTCTAGACAAATTAGTGAGACCCTATTACAAGTAAAACTAAAAAGGTTTGTGGGTTTAGATAAATGGTAGAATGCTTGTATAGCATGGACAAGGCTCGGGATTTGATCCTTAGTAACACACACACACACACACACAAAAAAAAAAAAAAAAAAAAAAAAAAAAAAAACAAACAAAAACAAAAACAAAAAAAAAAACATTCCCCAAACCCACTGCTAATATGAAAAATACAATCAGAATATAACCACATTGATATTATTTAATGGATATTTAATATTTTAATCGTAGCTTGAATTGAATCCCTTTATGAAATATGATGATCAAGCAGGGTGGTACATGAATGATGAAGGCACATGTCGTTAATCCCAGCACGTGGGAGGCAGAGGTAGGCAGTTCTCTGAATTCAAGGCCAGCCTGGTCTACAGAGTGAGTTCAGGACAGCCAGGGCTACCCTGTATTGAAAAACAACAACAACAAAAAGAAACAAAGAAAGAAATATGATGAATGAAAATAACCAGACAAAATCTTTTATTGTACTGAGGTTGTGTGTGTGTGTGTGTGAGTGTGTGTGTGTGTGTGTGGGGGGGGGTACATGGTGTGTGTCTGCATGTGCACGCATGTATTTATAGGAGTCCTATAAATACTTATGTATTTATAGGAGTCATGGAAGACCAGCCAGTTCAACACTGTAAAAGAATAAGGTAGACTTTATCTTTGAAGTTCACTCTGATACAAATAGAAACATTAATAGCTGGTGGTATTTTTGCTTTATGATGTTAATATATAAAATACTGGCAGGACTACTGATTCTTAGCTGCCTTCTCCAAATGGACTAAATTACAGACACTATTTATTTAAGGCTGGAAAACAAATTTGCAGCTAAATACTGATGAACAAGTCTCTTGAGAACACTCATGTTTCCAATTACTAGAACAGAGTAACTACAATCAGGGCACAAAGCCTGAAAATGAACAAAGAGATGGACATATTTCATGCAATCTAAGATGCCATCCAGTGCAAGCTGTATTATTTTAGGCACTACTAAGAAAGAAAACACACTGTTAAATATGACATACACTATGGTTGTAAGAATAGTCTTGATTTGTAGATGTTAAAGCATTGTTAAGTGTGCCACTTGGACTCCATGAGATGAGAGCATTCCCAAAGTTTGTCTGACATAATGCATAATGCAAACAGGACAAGATCCACCAGCATTAACTACTTCAGCCAGGGTTATGTAACTGGCATATCAGGTTCTAGTAATATTTTAGTTATGCATGACTAACAGAGCTCTACCTTTGAGAGTTCTCAGATTGCTAAGGTATTTCTATACAGCTCGACACTCACCCTGAAATGATGGTCAAGAACTTACATCCTGCTATTCAGTGTGGTTCAACAATGGCTCTAATACAGTTATCATGATCAATATTTACCTCATTTAGCAGGTCTCAGTGCTACTGACATGGATGATGCCATTTAACTATCAGGTGAGCTTAAAGGCAGTATCAACATAGTTCTCCTTACACAGGCTGAAGGTTAAGTGGCTTGCTAGAGTGTCAGTGCCAGCAGGCAGGAGAGGAGGGAGCCCCGAGCTGTGCCAATAACCTCCCGGTGCTATCATCTGGCTCTAGAGTCATACTTACCTCCACTGGTCTCTCAGTATTTAGTTTTTGATCCATAAGAAGTTACTAAATACTAGAGACTTTTGAGTTCACAGTAGAAACAATTCAAACTGTCATTTCTATTTCTGTTCTTTCTTCTACCTCCATTCATTATTCAGTAAAAAACTTAGAACTTTCTGGAATCCTTCAGGGCAGGAGGCAGTTTGGCACTTCTCAGAGAAGCCAGGACCATAACTGTCCCTGGCTAGCAAGTCATCCCTGGGTTCAAAATGGCAAGGGTGGGCATATAATCCATATCAGGAAAACATATGCTTTCCTAAATAAATGCATTATTTACGAAATCCATGCTCAAACGCTTAAACACATATATCCACCCAAATCAAGTTCCCATTAGCAAAATATTCAGGGAAAATTGAGAGAAAAAAGAAGCTATAACTCAATTTAAAAATTCTTTATACGCACCAAGAAAAAGAAAAGGCTATTTTTAAGCTGTTTAAAAAAATGAACTTAACTGAGGTAATGTAACAGGCACCTCACGTTTTTTCTATCAAGTTTTCTGTGCTCTGCAACATACAAAGACTATCTGTAGTGAAGGGAAATTCCCAGAGCTGGTTTAATTAACTCAAGTCTGGCTTCTCCATCCTGAATGCTTGTTGTTTCTGTACTAATGGCATTACATCCAAGGAAATGAGTTCAAAGTTGGCAGTCTTAACCAGACCCGATAGAATCAGAGGTCTGCTCCAAAAACACATCCTTGCTGGCAAATGTGCCTTCTGACTCGAGCAAGCAAGCAAGCTTTTCTTCTTGAGGTTACAGCTCAGGAGAGAGGTCTTCCCTCCTCCAATTGGTAACACTTTCTTACTGATGAAAACAAGTAAACAAAAGCAGAGTCCTGGAGGGGAATGAATGAGTGTACAGAAGGGTTTGCATTAAGCCAGGAGTTGGCTTCCCCTTAACCAACAGCTCATCCAAACTAGCCCCACTGCCCAACTCAGCCCCAAGGCCACAGGCAGGAGGTGGTGGATTCCTGGCTTCAGAATCACATGATTTAGCCACAAAATCTACCGGGCCACTGTCTGCTTCTCTGAACCTCAGCCTTGTCAGGCTGGCAGAGGGCAATCAAAGGG